TAATAGCCTAGACTTTCTCAATAATCAAGTCTTCAAACAGTGAGTGTAGCAACCCAGTCTTTTGGAATCATGCTAATGCAGAAGATACTGAACATCAGCCCCGCCTCCACTATTCCTCCGAGAACCCATTGAGCAAACCTTCACGATCCTGAATGATCCAAGCTGTGAGCACAGTGAGTTGAAAGTTTCCTTTCTAAGCTGCCTACTGATGATTGATGACAAATATATTTCATCCACAGTTCCCTTGGCCCTTTCAGAAGCAGTGGACAGCAATAAGCAACAATGTAAGTCCATAAACTACGGCAAAATTACGAGCAGATTTTATGTGCTGACGGCTCCTTCATAGGAGCAGTCTTCTTATCTAAAGTCGCTCGATATCTTGTAAGTCGCTATAGTGCTTTGCCCTGCCTACTCCCCAACACCCGGTACCGCATTTCGATTTTCGTACGATAGCTATCAGTTGTTAGCTCTCTGTTCCCGATAAATATTGCTGATGATTCTTTTTCTTCATAGGCGAGCTTCAATATAACCTCGACTTGACCGAGCTATCCCCATAGTCCTCTAAACTCACCAGCCGCATTGGCCTGATCGGCCAAGCCACTGAATCTCACTACGCTTGCGCCTTTGTTGTTCTGAAGACGTGGTTGACACAGTCACTTCACCTGGCTTATTAGCGGGCCCAATTCAAAGGCTTGATGACCTCTGCTTAGCCATGCAGTAAAATTCCAATGTGTTTTCATTCGTCTCTCCGGCATTACCCTGTCCGAACAAATGTTGACAGTCAATGTATTAGCAACTCGCAGTCTTCTCACGGCTATGAGCCTCCTGCCGATGTCCGATCCGAAGGCTTGTCAGTGGCCATGAGCCGGCCTCACTGTTGACCGAGCGAGCCATCGGAGCATCCGCGAACAAAGAGAGGCCAAGAATCGATGACCACCGAAGAAGGTAACGATTTTCCCGGGAATAGCATCGGCCAGCATATTGAACCGACTTTTTGGCCTTCATCTGAGGCCAGATCTTCAAGCCCTGGTTTCAGCTGGACAAGCTATCAGACAGCTGCGGCTTAGATCCACCCCCGATTCCTCGCGCGAGAGCAATTCTTCTCAGGTCAGTTCCTGGTTTTTCCTTAAACAAATACCATGAGTCTGTCCGCCAATGATGCCTTGCCCTGATATGATTAGGGGATTCACCTGGCGCTCGTATATCGAATACGAAACACCTATGCATTGGAAAATGTGGCCCTTATCCTTTCCCCGGGTACGAAGTGATTTCAGCCTCAGTCCAAGTATGACCGAGTGAAGCTTGCCATTTCATCCCTGTTCTGCCTATGCCGATGCCAGACTGCACTGACGGCAAGTCTACGCCACTCCCAGTCACCAGTGTTGTAACATGAGGCTGGTGCATATCACGAACCAAGCCGAACCATCGAAACCAATCTCGAGGAAGCTCTATATAGTCTCTGTCATTCCTTATGCACAATCAACAATAATATTCCTCTGAACAACAACAACAACAACATCAACAACAACAACAACAACCAGAAATCATGCTGACAGGGAGAGGTGGTGAAACAGCCCTGGTTCGGCTGTTCCCGCGAGTACGACCGGGAGAATGTGTTATGGCTGATATAAGGGGTCTCATCCAGGCCACGAGCATGGCGAGAGGCGAGCACCTACTTTGTCACTACGTCGTTATGCTCAGAATGCCTGCTCGGCGTCACCACCAAATGGCATGGACTTGCCGGCAGAAGCAGACTCATGATGCTCATGCTCGGCCAATTGCCGTGAAGATCAAGGTGTGTCTTGCTAACCTCAAATATGTAAGGCCTTTCCTGATATCAGAATGAGAAGACGTGTTTATTGACTTCGAACGTAGCCGCAGATGCGTTCCACGCGACTCAGGGAACGACGCGTTACGCCACGTAAATTCTCTGCCTTGTCCTTCCCGCGGTCCCGCGGAACGCGTTCGCGGTTGGCCCCACGATGGCCCCCCCCCCCCATTTCAAGATCCGCTGATGCTCACTTCGCTTGGCATGTTCCCATGTTCCCTTCTCCCTAATTTCTCACCTGACTTACTCGTTCACAAATGGACCACGTTTGCTGGATATTAAGTTTCCCACCCACCGCATTTTGAAGAGTAAGAGGCCTTGATTAGCTTGATTTCTACTCTTTGGGCTTCGCGGGTTTCGCCCAACCTCATTGCTCATCTGAACTTCTGCAGAGGCTTTCTGTCAGCATAGTTTTTTTTGGCGCCATGACAAAAAGAAAAAAAATTCAGCTATTCTAATAACGCGCAGACCTCGGTGAATTCCGCCTCTGTCGTGGAAACTGGACAAGCCGCGCCTATCCAGACAATTGCAATCTCGATGCCCTCGACGGCGGTCCGTACCAGACCCATTACTATGGCTGTCAATGGCACGTCCACAGATAACTTTCATGATTGCTCTGCCAATGGATTGGATGCAGCGAAACTTTTTTCACTGCGGAGGCCTTATATGTAAGCTCTTCGGCTGATAATTTGTCTCCAAAAGGTCTAACTGTTGTTGCGACACAGGAGGACCTCTGCGGGTGGCATGTTGGCCGCAATATCACCAAAACCCCCAGCTTAGCATGCCAATGGGGCAATTGCAATGCTGTTGCTACCAAGCGTTACCATATGACATCCCATGTCCGGGCCCATGTGCCCTTTAAGCCTCACAAATGTCATGTCTGTGATGATTCTTACAAGCGCCCCCAGGATTTGAAGAATCATGTCAAGACGCATGTGAATGACTCGGAAATTCAATCTCCTGAAATGGACCTGAAGCATCCGAATATGATATTCCCTAGCAATCGGAAAGTTTAATCTCCTGTTTCCGCCTATCTCTGGAAGCTTTAGTCTTGTGGCGTTGCGATTGCTCCCTTGGGGTTGGAGACTGGGCAACAAGTATTGGATCTTATGAAGCATTGTACTTCTCGCATGATTGGGTCACTATAAACTCCGTTGTTGACTGGATTGAAGGTTCAGGCTATGCTGCCTCAGCTGATTACTTCCAGAGTTCGTTGGTGTTGTTGTTGTGATATGAGGCTTGCGCAGGCCAGGAACAAAACCGGAACGTCGGAAATAATCCCGGGTTGCATATACGAAGAATCAAGTTGATTGCAAATCAACTTGACCTTCTCGTGTTGTATATATAGCCTCCTGTATTCCCTCTGAATAAATAACACAATTAAAACCTCTGAACTACAACAGTTGTTAGTGGCAGCTTTAAGCATAGAGCGCCTCAGAACTACGAACCACACCCTCTCCGTCAGCCAGCAAATCCGCCCCCTATGGCAATGTGTACTATTTTGTGAACCAGAATCAAGATGGGACTCACGCATATGATCATAATCCTGGCTGCAATGCGCTGAGCGGCTTCTCCGGCGACTGAATGTGATATCCATTTAATCTCAACTCTTATATCACGGTCGGGTAGCGTCCACTGTGTCGCTATTGCGGTGCAACCTGCCCTTGCGCGTTTGATCCTCCTTACAAATCTCCGACTAAGCGAAAGTTTTCTCTTCGTCGCTACCTCATCAATTCTCAGCACCTGTGCAGCTTACCGCAACGTCCAAAGCTCACAAAAATTACGGAATTTTTTGCCTTACACTGCTAGAGTGCACACATATAACAATTTGTCGTCGGTCAAAGCCATGTTATGTGGCTCTAGTCAGAATTCCGCGTGGGTTGAGGTACAACGAAGCGGCTTGCTCAATTTCCATAATGAAAAAGGGGACGAGGCGAATTGCAAGGTCGCGGAGGCCCTAGTAAAGGGGAGCTTGTGCACCGCCAGCAATAATACAAGGTCTTCGACGCAAGGCATTAAATCCCAACCAACTTCTTTGTCTACCACAACAATCCATGTGTCTGCTGACAGGCCCATCGGCGGCCCCGACGACTTCTTCGGACTCAAGCAGCTCTTCGAATATAACAGATTGCTGAACACGAAGAATTGCCTGGCTTTGTTTGTTTGTGCCAAGCTATGATGTTTCTGTTTTATGGATCAAGTCTACCCTTTGCCTATGGAGCCCCAGAGCCCAGCGTCGGATGTTCTTCTTTTCTTGCATCTCGTTACCCAGGTTGTCAACTCAACATTACGTCTCAGAGTCGATTTTCTCTATATCTGATCCCGCCCGGAAAGCAGATTAGACGATTAAAGGGCTAACTCGATTTATTGCAAGCAGGGAGTCAGGATTATAGGTGGCGCCAGGGCACTCACATATCTCTTTTACAACATCCTGGCGAACCAGACGGTGTTAAAGGTCCCAGTGCTTCAAGCTTGGCATCGCCCGGAGATGAGCCTTTTCCCGCGGCGAAGCGAAAGAAAGTGAAAATAAACATTGCCTTCTATATTTGCAGGTCAGTCTCATTGTCATCTTACTATTAGCTTGTCACTCAATCTTGGTATGCACACTCGGCCAAGTGGAGGACAGGATCTTGAACATTCCGGTACCATGGTGTCTGCTACCACTAAGGAGGATCTCAACATAACAATCAACGCACATTTTTGGGCTCTATGCATGAAAGAAGAACCCTATTCTTCATTTGGTCCCAGCGAGTGATGTTGCTCGTCAACTGGCGATGCCGAGCTGGGTTAGATGAGCTTAGACAGTCCCCAGCTTTCACGAACAGTGAAGAAATACCCCTGGAGGAATGCGGTGGCCACTTGATGAGAATCTCTGCGAGAGTATTCAAGCCGAGGCAAATGAAGCAGGATCACTGATGCTGAGATTGAGCTTCCACACAAAGAAATTGAAATCCTGTCGACATCATGTGAGCCTAATCGAATCAGCTCATCAGGGCGTTGTTCCATCTCCATGTCACCTACATCACAGCGTGGTGAAGATCAGTCAAAATGCAACCAAAGCGATAAAGATGCAAATTTGCCTTCATCTTCGAATTTATTTGTCGTCATCACCATTTCACGTTCGGGAGCGGCACATGAGGGAACCTGACGATGACTCTTGAACTGTTTGGTTTCATAAAAAGAAAGCGAGCCTGATCAGCGTCATCATGAGGAGCTGAGCGCTGGCTTTACGCGCGACGTGAAATGATGCGTTATCACGCGGAATCGATTCCATCAGCGTCAGAAACTGGCGGCGCATATAGAAAACTTCTTCGTCGAGACGCATATAAGAAATCGTCACACTTCCTTTGACGTTGCCATTACTTTTTGGCTTAATGCGTGCTTCCATTAACGCTGAGCGATTGTTATCCTCATTGAGAGACTTATTCAGTACATACATTTCATTTAGGTTTCCTGATATGGTAAACATTTTAGAGGTTTATCCATGTTTGAGAGCGACAGCAGAACTGCTGGCAACTGCCGATGAAAACTTCACCATTGCCAGTGAGAACTTATGAAGGAAAAGTTATCGGCAGAACGATCATGTTGGAACCAATCAGGCCAGCTTCAGTTCCGTCAAAGACGAATGACTTTGCATTCATTGAAGCAAGAAAACATTCAGCGGAAAAATCGATATCTTCCCGAGCAGATCACGGGTCATTACAGCTGGGATCTTAGACGCTTAAGAGCCGGTGTGGAGAAGCGAGATGTCTTTGCGGACCAATCAGAGGAAGGCTATCAATCGCTACCAGCAAGACATGAGAGAGTGTCTGCTCGACCAGGCGAAATATCGCTCGTTGCCATCTTTATTTGGAGCCATAAGAGCCCTCAATGTTGGTTGACTACGATCATTGACATAGACAGTCGATCATCACAAACTGACCTTTATAAAGCTCATGCTGAATAATCTCAGGACTAGTAACTGGTGCCTTTCCATGCAGACTTTATACATTAAAAGAAAATATTTTGATTTTATTTGCTATATGACTGATATCATCAGCTAATGGCGATCTATCCAGGATGAGTATGTTAACCTTGCCACTTCAAGTGAAAGCAAGGAAAAAAG